GGTTCAAGAAAGTTTCCAGAGAGCAAATGATCTATATCCATCAGGCTACTCCTGGAAATTACCAAAAATGATTTGGGAATCCAGGGAACAACGAGGTTCTCCATCTTTTCTTCCTAAAGAAACAAAGACATCTGGTGTATCACTCGGAGGAAGAGGTACAGGAGTAATAGGAGACAGTCGAAGAGGAATAGGAGGAGGCGGAGGAGGAGTAGGTCAAGGAGGAGGAAGAGGAGGAGGTCTAGGAAAAGGAGATGATGGATTAGGAAAATTAATAATACTGGGAGCACTGGGAGCGTGGTGTTTATCGAAATTTTGGGCCTGGTATAAAAACAAAGGGGGTAAGAAAGGTGGAGGCGGAGGTGGCGTTGATGATAGAAAAAAAAGTGATAAGGATGGAAGTAATATTAATGGAGGTGGAAGTGATGGTAAGTTTGAAAGACAAATAATAATCGAATAAACTCATATGTTTAGAGGTTATATTAAATTGAACCACTGTACCACTGTAAAACAATATTTTGCAAGAATATGCTAGAGATTTATCATTAGTTTGTACATTTGTAAATTACTGTTAAAATTTGTGTAAAACTTAAACAAAACGCTGAACATATCAACACGTATCAACTGGTTTTTAGTCGCTATCTATTTACTTCATCAAATACATCTTCCTTTTTACACATCATTACCAAGAACGTGTTATTCTTTTGAAAATGTCATCTGTTAGTCTGCATTAAACATTTGTTATTGTCTAGTGAATGACCATTTCTTTTCTTACTTTTTCTTTTCAAAGATGGCTATAGCGGCACTTGGGACAAAAGATGGAAACAAATGAAAAAGAATGCAGCGGAAGTGTTGCGATACAAAGGCAATAATTACTATCTCACTGGTACGTCAGAGACAAAGCTCGTCATGCAGGATCTATCCTTAAAAAGTACCGGGATACTCGTCATTATCTGGAGTTTGTAGGCTCGGTGAATGAAAAGTTCAAAGATATGCCAGAAAAACATGAGTCTAATCCAGTGCCAAAAATAAAAAAGAGTGACATGAAAAGAATTAGATAATTGATCAGCTTTGAGTTTTTTTCATAAACACACTTATGCATGTATTAGAATTTCAAGAAAAAGAGAAAACTATGGAAATTTTTAAGTCCAATGTAGCCATTACATATACTGGCTTCAGCTAGTATAAGGGAAACAGAAGGCTAATATTTCATGTGCATATGTCGAAAAGAAGGATAACACCTTGCATAATTTGCATTTTGGAAAAACATTGTTTTAATCCCAAACAGCTTAAAAGTCTGAAAATTCAATTTATATTTTAATTTATTTGTAAATAATGACAAAGAAATGTTTGACAACAACTCATTAAATCATGTTTTTGTTATATATCCATGCCATATGATGAAAAAAGTTTTTGTTGCATTAAGGTAGCTAAGGACACCTGACCCCAAAAAAACCTGTCAATAGATTTTGTTGAAATTTTCACAAGGTGTAAAAGGATGTGTAATGAACACTTAGTCCAAATATGAACAAGGCATTGTGGGTAAATTATGGAACCAGGGGGTAATGAGTTACCTCCCCTTTCCAGTCACTCCAAAAATCATAATACAAGATAATTATTACCCATAAAAAATTTATTGTGCAATATGAATTCAATATTAAAAATTATTTTTAAACAATATTGATACCATTAACTTATTTAAACAATGGATTGTCTGAACATATATAAATTAAGAGAATAATCCATGTAGAACATTTGAAATTCGACCAATTTGGCCATTTTCATGCACACAAATTCAACACTTTTTAAATTCTAAAAAAAAATCTGTCCAATAGAATTTTTATTTTTTATCATTATTTTAAAGATCTGTCTAATACTATTCTTCACTCAAAAAATCTTGGTCACATTGTGGGCTAATAAAGGTACCAGATGGTCCACAACTACCCCCCCCCCCCTTTTGGTTTCCCATCCTAAAGGTAAGAATAATGATTAAAGTGGCTATTCAAAAAAATGCATAGCAAATTAGGGAAAAACAACTGAAGAAATAAATTAGAAGTAAAAATCAATTGCTAATAAATGACTAAAGAAAATATTTTTATGAAATAATAGTACATGTAGAGTAATAACTTGGAAGAGTTACCCCCCTCCCCCCTCCCCTCGCAATAAAACATGTAATTAAACCAATATTGAAATTATCCATAAAAAGTTCCTCAACAAAATTAAAATATGAATTTATATTTCAACAATAGATACTTGAACAAAAATGTAATTAAAAAAAACACATTTAAATATTCTTCAACATGATCCCTTTTGATTACTTTCATGCAAACAAATTCTATGTTTTCTTATAGATTTCTAAAAAGTATATTGTATGACAAAAATGTCCAATACTATTTCTCACTCAGAAATCTCGGCTGCATTAAGAGGCAATTAACTACATGTATTAAGTTACAGAATGGTCTAATACACCCCCTCCTTTTAAGCATCTGATATTTTTTTCATTGCAATGTCAAAAATCCCCCTAATTATTAACATGTCAAATGTACTCTACTTAATTTGTCCAAAAATACATTTTGGTCATACAGAATAAAGAAATCCATCTGACATAGCACTGCAAAATTCACAAATTTCTATTTCATAGAATAATAAGAATATCATTGAAAAAATATGATCAGTACTCTTTCAAATTGATCAAAAGTCATTTTATTCCATGAGCAGGTAGGATAATAACATTTAATAGGCCATTCCAAGTCTTTTTTTCTGTTTGGCATCCAATCGCACCTTGGTTTTTGACACCTACATGTATCAGACAATCAAACAAAATCAGAACCCCTACACTTGATTATTTTTGTTGAAATCTTTGATTTCTGTCAATTTCTCAAATATGTACAATAAATATGTCAAAGGTAGTGTACTTTAGGCATTTAAATTCATTATTTTGATTTTGCTGAAGAATAGATATTTCTGCCAGAAAAGCAGATTGATGAAATAAAATCCTCAGATTTACACTATTATTATAACTATAGACATGATACACGTACATTCTGTGTTTTATTTTTTAGGCTATATTTTTATTTACAAATAGGTACATGTAGGTAGGTTTTTGATTGAAGGTTGGACGCTAAACAGAGAAAAAAAACATAAAATGGGCTTAGTCTAAAACCGTCCTTGACCTGAGACATAAAATTACATAAACCATACCTAAAAATTAAAAGCAAAATGACAATGCTGCACTGGGACAAAACACTTGATGCAGGACATTTTATATAAAAAGTTAAAAAAAAAGATTCTACATGAATATTTGGAGCAGCTTATTAAAAAGCCTGAAAAACACTCACAGTGTAGATTATGCATAATAGAGAATGTCTGTTGATTGGCCTATTACTGAACCCAACATCACAAGTCGACATTAAATTATGCATACATTTTTTTAAAAAAGAATAATCTACACTCTACAGCAGTGTAATACTGCAACTGACATATACAAAACATAACATAGTACATTAAATATGAAAGGCTGCATGTGGAGTGATCTATTACCACACCAGACATAAAACAGGGTAGATTAAATATGAAAAATGGAAAAAAAAATCTATATGTGGAGTGATTAGTTTCCACTTTAAATGTAACACTCAATCAAGAGATACATGTACTTGGTAATATAAAGCTGACAAAGAAAAGTAGTCTATTGACTATGTTAGTTTACTTTCAACAAGCTATTCTTGTCCTGCTCTTTTTTGGAAGGGGTGGAAAATCATTCTTCCGTTGAGCTGCAGTAGTTGAATCATCATCAGCATGAATGGTCTAAACTTCATATTCATATACCTTGTACTCTGTACTGATGAATCTATCTGTAATTTATAAAATTTAACAAATACAATATTATCTGCAGTCAACATCAAAATATATTTCTCACAATGTCTATATCTTATATATAGAATTTCGGTGAAAAAAACATGTATATGTAACAGGAAAAGAGAAAATGTATGGATGGACCGGGAATCAAACCTGAGACCCCTGCATCACTAGTCATGTGCTATACAGACTGAGCTACCCTGGATGATATATATCCATGGCCCAAACCATTACATATTACATACATGTATATATAACTTGCAAAAATTTACAGATAATACATGTAAATTGACAATTTTCTACACTTATTAAATTTGGCCTAGCAAAATTTAAATGACTTAATCATAATCACTATTATGCTGACATCAAGATCCCCTGGTCTGCTATGGGTTGGTGGTCCTATACCAGAAAGTACCATCTTGATGGCTGAAAAAAAATAGATCAAATAAATATACATGTATACCAGCAAAACCAAAATTTAATTATATTAGTTGATTGGCAAATCACTTTTTAACCAGTAAATCTAACATTAAATTAAAATGCCCCACTGCCTGGCCAATATTCTAACTATACAGCAGCAGTATTATTATACATATATCACATGGCTTCGAGGGTGACATACCAGAATATTTGCCCAGAGGTGACAGGAAAGCCCTGGAGTGTTATGTCACCCGATGTCGAAGGCAGAGGGTGACATAACACTCCAGGGCTTTCCGGTCACCGAGGGGCAAATATTCTGGTATAGTCGCCCGAGAAGGCATGTGGTATATGTTATATGACATTTTTAAAATTAAAAAAAAAATTAAATCGTTGAAATTTTCACAAATAATCCAGAAATGCCTTCTTGACGTTAAGAATAATGCTCCGTTGTTTACATTTGCTTTGCAACCGACGTCATGACATCTCGAACCCGAGCTAAAATGCGTAACGTAAAAACACGTGAACGTGATCGAAATAGTGACATAACTGTTTCCGTCGAGGGTTGACATAACTGTTTCCGGCCGGACATAACTGTTTCCGGTGTGACTCGACATTTTTCAGGGTTTATAGCAAAACTTATTACATTTGTGATATAATAGGAAAACTTATTCAAAAATGTTATATGAAGATTTGTCAATTTCATCAGACCAGCAAACAACATGTAAACAGTTTCAATGTTTACCACACTGACACAGTTTTTACCAGTGAAGAAAAACAAAAATAATCTGTCCAGGGTTCGACACTAAGGGTAGTCCGCTGGCCCGCGACAACTGAATATTGAGTTTGGACTACTAAACATGCCTTTAAACTTGCCCTGCAGGGCTACTGTAAATTTTACCAAACTGAAACACTCACTCAGAGCAACAAAAATAATTATACATGTAATATGACTTGTATATACACAAAATTTACCTGATTATTGATAAATTAATTTACTTTTCAAACATGTTTTATCCTCAAAATTATTTTTGTAAGTCAAAATGTAAATACTGTAAGGTGAATCGATTGATTGATTGATTGTATGTTGTTTAACGTCCCTCTCAGAATATTTCACTGATATGGAGACGTCCGTAAGGTGAATCGAAATACCCTAAATGATTATAAAATGTAGAATTTTTTTAATAGAAATATATCTTAGGTACAATCTGACAAAAATTAGGCCCCCAGTGAACTTGGAAATAAAAATAAATTATCTGTCCTTCACTGTAAATACATAATCTGACACCCATAAAATTTGCCCCTCCCTCCCACCCCCATCAAATGAATGGCAGTCCCTTTATTACATTCTCTGAATTTACTAATACTCATAAGGGTGAAGTTTAATGCTGAATTAAAATAGGCCTATTATCATGAAAGTACAGTAGTTGGCCATAATTTAGTTCCCAAAATGGCCGCCGTAGTTTCCGTAACTCGGTTTGGCGATGATATTTCGTCTCTTAGTTTCTAAATACGTTAAAAATTCTAACCTTTCTGCATCCGAATAAAAGCACAAAATCGATATTGGGTTTTTAATTTATCTTCTTAATTCTATTTCCGGTTTGTTTGTTGATA